ACAAACCATAGTAAATAAGAAGCCTATCTTTATCCAACTTGTATTTTAAGGTGATTATAATACAGGAATAATCAACAGAAGATTGAAAATTTACCCCGCAGCCAAACTGGTTCCCGTTTACGAAACAATAAACTCTTTGGTGCAATCAAAGGTTGATAGACACCCTTACCATTTTAAATCTAATTGTATGTACAAATTTAAATGTATATGTGGTAGCAGTTACATTAAAAGAATAGGAAGGAGGGCATATTTTAGATTCTCTAAACATTTACCAAACGTTTACGTCTCAAGGGAACAGTGTTGCCAGACACCATGAAATCCCTAAAGGCTTTTAATAGACAATATAACTCAACTATCCTCAAATTTGCCGAAGCAACCGCTATCAAACGTTTGAGACCTGACTTATGTGTTCAGAAAGATGCACTTATAAGTCTTTCGTTGCTTTGGTGGCCCAATGTTTCGTCTCTTCGCCTCAGACGATTACGTAGTCTTTCGCTTTTGCCCCTCCTTCTTGGTTTTCTCTTTAATGTAATTTAGTTCTTTTTGTTTCTATGACCCGAGTTAAACTCAACACTTTACTACTCATCATCAGTTTCTCTCCTTTTGTCTCGACTGTGCAACTCAATTCTTAATGTATCCGACCATTAATTCTGCATGTCCGTATTTTGTTTGAACGTTGACCTTCTTTATAAGTTAAATAAATGAAACATGTATCTGTGTTGACAAATGTTATGTTGATCCTTGTAAGTATGATAAAATTCTATGTACATTTACATTATCAACTTTTAAGTTGGAAGCAGCTGAAGAGAATCCGAGAAAATAAATGATGGCCTCACATTATTCTGCACAAGCTTTTGCTTTTACTTAGATTAAATTCATAAAGGGGAATAAATGTTTAAGGGTACAGGAACACCGGAGAATACCAACCATTTAGGAAAAACAGGAGTCTTAAAAACCATAAAGTTACTAAAATCCGAGAAAACAGAAGCAGCAGCAGCAGATATAATCCCTCCAGATGTACTACTAACGTGTATAGCGATCTCATTGGGTATGCTCACACTACTATCGTAAAAGATTCGGGTGGGAAGGAAATTACTTGCCGGTTGGAAATAAAACTACTTTGTCAAACTGAGAAAGAAGGGCAACTTAAGCCTTTGCAAGAACTGGAATAAAATAATGCCCCTGTGCTTCCCAAGCAAAATAATGAGGTGGATCATTCTGGAGAGTCTAAAAGATGCCTTGGATGCCAGACGTCGTCCGGAACAGGTTGGATACAGGAAACAAAGATCATACACGTACTGTGGTGAGAGCTGGCTGCTAGCCAAAATTGGTAGACAGTAATTTACATCAATTTTTACGTCCCCAATATTGGTCGTGAGAAAAATAAGAACAAAGACTGACTCAACAAACAATCACAGCAGACTTTGCTTAGGCGGATACAATTCGCAGATAGATAATCTGAACTTCAAGAAACAGCCACAAAGAGATGAAAGATTAACGTTCAGCGAGAAACCACCAATCAGAAGACTGTGTTTGTTCGCTAACAATAATCTATATTAATGTACATGAAAATCTATAAATATCTGTTGATTTCCTAAATAAACGATCTGTTGCTTGGCCCTTGTCTTCTTTTGTTACAGTACTAAATAGCAATACTACGCGTCATCATTGAACAGAGAATATAATGGTAGTCGAATGTAAACGTAGACTCTGGTGACCTTTGAATGGTCTTCAACAGCGTCGACCGTGAAGTAATTTGGAAACTGTTTCAGCATTATGGAATGCAGTGTTCCACATACTCATAAACTTTGTACAACATCTATGTGATGATGCCATATGTCAAGCGATTTACAACAGAAACCTCAGCAAACGTTTGAAGTGAAGAAAGGAGTAAGAAAAGCCTGCCTATTATCATTGATAGTATTCCTGGTTGTGGTGGGTCGGATCGTTCGGAAGAACGTAAAGCATGAGAAGACAAACATACGTTGGACAGGATAAAAGAGATAGAATACTTGGAAATGCGCTTCTGAAACCCTTCATTGCTCTGCGAACCCATAGGAAAAATAATAATATTATAATAGTGTCAGAGGAAGCTTTCTAAGTGTTAATTCTTAACATCTTCTTATCACTTGACTATCATACTTCAAACGTGTTAGATGCAGTTTTACTTTTTTTGTTATATAAACATTCATATTCATAGTGTTTTGAGGAATAAATACATACTCTTACATCGACAAAAAGTTACATTATTCTTTGAACAGATCAATAGATATTTGCATAAAGGGTTAGTTATTTCAATACAGTTTCAAGAAGTATTCACAGAACACGAAGATTATTGTGAAGGACTGCATTTATTTATATATGTCATGCATATTTATTTAGTGAATTTACTTCATCAATAATTAGACATTCCGTATTATTCACTTTTTTACACAGAAATTAGTTTATAACATCTTAGAAGAACATAAACGTTTGAATTAATTCCTATTACATATTCTTTTGAAAAAACGTCTATAGTATCTACAGGATTATGTATTAGACAGCATGAAGTAAAGTGTAAACTACAGACGGTGATTTTTCTGTTACAATTTTTACCGTAAGTTCATGACCTCAGTAGATTTAATTAAAACTAACTAGCATAAGAGATACAAAAATCCCCCCACAATACGAAGTTGACTCCTTTTGTGAAAGTTTCTATTAAATTTGTAAACAGTTCAAAGTTGTTCCTAACTCTAAAGATAATTCAATAATGAGGATTTATCAATAAATGAATCATTTCAAAGTTATTTTGGTATAGGTTGGGTTGTATTGAATACAATATAAGCTTAACGATACACTTGAAAGATCAACAACACATCCCAGAACGACGCAGAAAGATTTATTTTATTTTCTAATTAAATTTAAAAAATATATATATTTATATATTTAACTTGATGACCTTAAAATAAAATCAGTTTTGTCTATATTTAAAAAAATTTAAAATGCAGATTACGCCTAGTTTCATTACTATAACTCTTCGTTTTAAAGTACTTAATCCATATGAACAGGAATTTATACATATTTTCAGGGTTACGTGGGTAATTTAGAAAGCTTTCGCCATATTTTTCCACTAATTTTGCTGTTAACAATGTGATAATATTCGTAGTAGGGTACAGAGACATGAAGACAATGTTCAGTCATTGTTAGCAGTGTGAACCACCGTTCCCTATAAGATCTGTGATAAAAAAGGAGAATGGCGAAAATCATAAAATAAGTGTGGGCAAAAGACTTTCATAATTTGTTTTCTCTTCTTTGCTTCTTCCATCCTGATTTTGTTACTTTTCTCTATAAAAGACTTCTTTATCAACATTAATTTGTTCGTTCACTTAGTTTGTTTACCGCTGACTTTGTTTATTTACTTTTTAAATTTATTCTGTTTACAGAAAAATTCTTTATTTGTCTAAGTTAATTATTCGACTTCCAATCACATAGAATAGCGAAGAAGGGAAATATTGTTAGTTATTTACTAAAACATACCAGAAGCTAATAGCAATAAGAAAATTCATAAATTATATGATTAAAGGGGGAATATTTAAGAGGGGTTAGAACAACTTTTGAAGCATTTTTTGTATTATTTAGGACATACTTGAACTATACTGTATCCCAACTGTGTTCTATCTGATGGTCAAAAATGAAGTTTTTGTACAGTATAGTTTGTATTTAATAGCTGATATTTGATACGGTAATTTTGGAAAACACCAAGTAGCAAGAACTTATTCTGAAAATTACTTCTAATTATTGTAACAGGTAAACATATCTGAGTACAACTATGTCACACTTACATTTAACTGCTTATGGTTAGAAATTTATGTTATGCTTTGTGTATTCCGTCAAGCGAAGAAGAAGCTGTTCCCAAGATTCTCATTTCTAACTCTTGAGGTAGTGTTTGCCTGATAAATTACTTTGGCTTCTACCTTTACTATCTGAGATAATATAGACCTCTCTTCGCTTTTGTCATACATTTGTTCCTTCAGCTGAAACCGAGTGCGTAAACACGTGATTCATTGCACTTTCTACCGACGTCTACACGTGTGGTGTCAGCGAGACTGTTATACCTGTTCCGCAGGTCCCACATTGTTTTTGACTAAATTCTACTCTGTTAAGGTAAACAACACGTGATTCTGAGAGTTTATTAATGAGCTCCTAAGACTGTGATCGAATTCTCCTGAAACTGAATTTATTACATGAAATAATAAGCATATTAACTAAGTCGTATGGTTATTTGAATTAAATGCACAACAATGTAGACAACCCATATGATATCGTAATCAAAACTGTCATCAGGTATAAGCACTTCTAAACAATGTGTAGAAGAGTAACAGTCATTTTCTCAGAAAAAAGAGATAATTGCGTGTATGCTTAGAATGGTTGTAATGGTAGGCGAATGAAATGTCTCTACTTTGAAATAATAGAGATTTGTAGCTCAGGTGGATTATTTGCAGAAGGACGACGAAAGCTTCGCAACTAAACCAACCAGCTCAGAGAACACTATTAAATGCAAATGTCTCTACTTTATATATACGTGTATATTCACCTTCAGAATGGTTGTTTTTGTGAGTAAGATAATGTTTAACATTTTAAAACTGAAATTATTTCAGAGTTACCACTTACAATATACTATATTTGGCTGCGTGGTCAGATGTCTCCTGGGTAATAAGTGTATGTTAATTATTGTTAGGCAATATCTGCGAAAACATCTAGCAAATATAAGAATTGGTGATAGAGGATGGTAATTAATTATGAGTCAGACAAAGTGAAAATTCTGTTATTGCAGTAGGTGAAACTGAAATTAGTTCAGCCTTACGCTTAACATATCTGCCAATACCTTTGTATTCGCCGTCAACTGAATTGAGATTTAATCGTGATTCAGGTGCAAATGTTGCTTTTGACAAATTCTCTCGACTTTTTAAGGACTTGTGTAGAGTGAATTATGCTTCACAGGATTCAATTGGAAAGTGTGTATGTCGGTTCGGAAACGAAGTCTAGAAGAACTTGAAAAGCATTATAATTTAACTCTTGCTCAGAATCAAAGTGATTGGACTCTTGGCAATACAATTCAGTCACAGACTTGTCATCTTAAAGACCATTCCTCACTGTTCACCACTTTAAACAAATGCCTGAATCTAGTAACGAATAAATACGATGATTTCTCAACACATGCAGGTGTTTTCATCAGTAATTTTGAGTGGTGTTGATATAGCTGTCTGACAGATGATTACTTTCAAGCGTTTATTATAATATATATGATCGGATAAGCAAATTCAAGTGGTTGTGACGTTCATGAATTATAGAGAACTTAAAAGCATTCATTTTTTTCTTTACCTCAGTTTGAAGTGTTCATTGTACGTTTGTTGATTTCTCGCATTTTTGTTCCACAAAGGGTTTTAAGGAAGACACATCCTTCGGCTTGACAGCGCCGTAGGACATGGAACTTTATAAAATGGTATCAACATTGCTTGAAATTGTCCTGAATTCTGCCATACAGGTTGATATTTACAGACAAACAGATAAAGGTAAACATCTATAATGAAGCCTGAAGCTGAATTCAGTCAAAAATTCCATGAACCTGTTCTCTACGTGACCATGTGAAACACCAGGTGAACCCAAGTATCTCAATATTCAGACAAATGGTGATAACATACCTTCAAAGCTGAATACTGCGTCTGGAATCACAATCACTTCAGGTCAGTAGTGGTATTAATTCAACTGTCCTGTCACCAAAGACACTATTCAAACCTCCATGAGCTCATGTGGTAGTCAGGTTAAATTATTTTGTAGACTCCATTGTTTTCTATCACTCCTGAATATTATATTCATCAAAGATTGTTACGTCACTTAAAGTGACTTAAATTCTTGGCGACTGGGTTAATTCCCCCATCTGCAACCGGCTGGTATTCCACTAAGATCTGACTGTAATGTGCTAAACCATCTTCAGAAGTTAGATCGTTCGCAAACAGTTTTCATTTGTTTTCAAACCTGACCTTGGGCAATTCACAACAATATCAGCCGTCATTCGTCACTTATTATATGCGAAATCAGTGCTTCACCCAATGAGGCCAGTTCTATATCCATCCTTAACAAAGGCTTACGAAGAATTACAGAACTTACAGAAACAAGAAGCATTAACACTAGCCAACCTGAGGAACACCTAAAGTAGTTTTCAACACAATAAATAATTCTACACCTATTTCTTCTGGTTTTCTGATCGGCCTAATGCTGTCTTGGAACATCACCATTATCTTGTTACACGTGCTTTATTCCGTGTTGGGAATAGTGGCTGTTACTTGCAACATTAGATATGACTGATACACATTTCCAGACTATGAAGAACTTTTATTTATTAGTAAACATCGAGGTTTGTTTTATCTAAACACATTACTTGTTGAAAAGTTATCTGCTTGACAGCTATTTTTCAACAGCTGATAGATAATATTTTGATGGTATTTTAGGGATGGCTTTCTGTCTTCACTATGTGTTAAACTAAAGTGGTTCTCTAGAGGACAGAAAACCTCCTGTCAAAAACACTTGGAAATGGATTATGAATTCGTACAGGGAATTGCCAATATTCACTACTATCTGTATACGTTGAATTTTATATCTGATGTATCTGGTAGGCACTCAGACCCTGAAAGTGTATGTACTATAAAGAAGATTGCATTCACTAAAAATGAGTCTTCTCTGTATTCCTTATTTGGATTAATTACCAACTGTTCAGCATTTATCCCTTGACATAGTGTTTGCTCCCCCTCCTCCCACTTAATCGTTTGATAAAAAAGAATGTAACTTGGGAACCCTAAGAAGAATGTAATTCCTTTTTAAAGAGTTGAAACCTGTTTTGAACTCTGAATATTCATCAGAACATCACTAACCAACTCTTATTAGTTGCAGATGCTTCAGCCCATGCAGTAGGAGCACTAAATGCTTGTCTTTTCTATATGATTCACAGTAAGCAGTCATGTGTGCATGCAAAACACTGACCTCTATAGAGAAGAAATAGGAATAAATTGAAAAAGCGACGCCTTAGCTTTAGCCTTCTCTGTGAGACGTTTCCACAAAGTGGTTTGAGGCTGTCAAACTACCATACTGACAGACCATAAACTCTTACTCTCAATTTAATACTTGATGTCTAGTATTACTAAACAGTCACTCAATCAACTTTGACACCAGGGATATGAATTTGGCATTCCTTCTAGTCAGACGAGTAATTCTGACCAAACTGATACTCCATCGTGTCTAATTACCGATTTTGCTAACCGACTTGAACATTTTGTCATCGTAGTGACCTACTTCGATGACAACGTTATCCCCATTGCAGATAGTGCTGTTCGACCCTTACCTGTAACTGATACTGAAATCAAACATGCCAGTTGCAATGATAATTCTTTACGACGTTTTGGCCTATTGTTCAACAGTAACATCTGTTTACTCGACGCCATTGTCTGAGTGTTGTACAGGATGAATTAGTGTTCGGGAAGCACATAATAAAACCTAAAGCTCTTTGAGGTAAGGTTACTGAACACAATAGACTGAAGTGTCTTCAGGAAGTAAACTAGGGATTATTCATGTCACGATTCTGCGAAGAGAGCTGAATTGTTATGATTCACCAAATGAAACTAAAAAGTTGTTACTACCTTCTACATTTGTGATCGTGGAATGGGCACCAAGCTCGGAATCCAGGTTTCGTTTAAATTTTGTATGATGTTAGAGCTTTAAGTTAAGCATGGACGTGTCACGACTGTAAGGGGTGCCGAAACTGACACTGCATTCGCACATTCTGCTGTATACATTTCAGCTACGCCTGAACGAAAAGTATGAAAACAACTAGAAGGCACACAACAGGACAAAAGACCAGCAGTTCCTCGAAAAAATGATTCAAAGTTTCATCTGACCAGTGTAAAACGCATTTTTCTGACTTTCGGTATTCTCAAAAGGCGAAGTTTTGTGTGCAATTATAGGGTGGTTCTAAAGTCTGTCATACAAAAAGAAAGACGTTCAGCGAAGAGCTACTCTTTCCAGCAATGTCATTCTCAAGCTGCATGATATATATATATAATTTTCTTACCAAAATAAGGGATGTTTCTGACGATGTGTCATCGGAATTGTAAATTCTACATAACAACTACGTATTACAGAAAGATTTAATCGGGCAGGAACTGAAATAAAATTATATAGGTACATTAGATGACTCAATACTATTGACGGAATTGAGTGGAAATCAGGTGAAACTGAATGAAAGTCAAGTTAGCAACAATGATAATAGGAGATAGAAATTAAATAGGGGGGAGGAGGGAATAGTACAATTAAAAACAAAAAATTGCGTATTTGGTGTTTAAACTGATCAGGTGCAGTGTAAGTTTATTGAATGAACAAGCTTCTTTTGTATGAAGAGTTCACAATTTAAAAGCAATTAGATATAACACAAATAATGTGATATTTCTCTTGTGTGTGGCTGAAATTTTAATCAAAAATAAAATCTGAACATTTTGTGGCATGTGCTGCTGAGAATATTAAAGTAGTATATTGGTGACGTCTTCTGAAATAATCTTGACTAACGGAGTAACGAATTATGCTACAAGGAAGCGAAATGAATACGATTGTGAAGCGGTATAGGAAGCGTGAAATGAGGACAATAGAAGCAGAATGCAAATACGTCTAACAAATGGAGTTTTCGATATAAGGAAAGCATTTACATTTTGTCATCAGTATATTTCATTTTACTAAATAAACAGTTCTACTACCAGATACCACTGTGTCTTAATGTGTAAGACTTCTTAATCAAATTAAATAACTGCTCGTCTACTTCACCAGTTGAAATCACCTGTTGTGTCATTTAGTCTATTATTAAAATATTCTGTAGAGGATTGTTTTCCTAAATTTCATGCTATCAGTTTAGTGTAATAAGAAAAAGCAAAACAAACTGAATATAAAGTGTGTGTATAAGCTTAAAATTTAATATTGACGGTCTTGTAATTTTAAAACTAGTTCCATATGGGTGGTTATTTCCGAAACTTATGATGAATAAATTAGATTTGACGTTAAATCACTTCTGTTTTCATTTTCAGATGTCTTTCTCAAGCAGAAATATTACTTTTAGCTAGGTGAAAGATAATTTTAAAGCATGAATTTCTCTTCATTTTACTGGTTATTTAATTTAATTAAACAATTACATTAGACCAGCTTATAAAATTTCACGCGAAATACAAGATCAAAATATACGGACTGATTGATGAACAAAGAATATCCTTTTCGACAAATTCGTCAGGCTCTACATTTATATGACCATAATAATTGTTATTAACAACATTAATGCTGTTTTAAATTGCATTGAATCAATAGTGTCAATAGATTACATTTCACTATCACCAGTAAGAGATAATATGCATCGATAATAATATGGTGCGTCAATGGCACAGCGGTAGAATGCTCGCCAAACACACATGTGGCCCCTGGCTGACGCACTCCTTTACCTTGCTAAGCTAGTAATAAGATTGGTAAAGATGGAAGTTTCGGAATGAGGCTAGCAACACCGTCCCGCAAAAATAAACACCACTGCTACCGGAACTTTTAGCCTTTAGCTTAAAGTACAATGTTCCACTCGGAACGTAAAGGAATAAAAAATATTTTTGAAAATGACACTAAACTGAATATCAGATAAATTGAGACACAACCTTAACAGAACATTATCATCTTATTGGTGGTCTAGGGGTGGTAACTTCACGTTTTGTGAAAATGATTTGGATAGGAATGAGATAGTATCTTACTTCAGTGAAGTACATTCAGCCATAAAATTCAAGAATGAGGAAGAATTCTAGAGTAAAACTGCCTTTTTAGACGTACTAATGACAGGAAGACTGGCCGACAGTATAAAGAGAAATTTGCATAAAAAATGTACTTGCCCCGGTCAATGTACACATTATCACAGCTTCATTCCTCTCCATTATAAAAGAAATTCGGTAAATACTCTCAGCTACAGGGTCAGAGCTATTTGTTCTGAAGATGCAATTGAAGATGAACTTAGGGTTATATACGACACATTGATTGAAAATAGCTATACTGAAAATTTCCTCACTAAACATATGGTCAAGAGAGTAAAAATCAATTCTCCTATATGTCAATAAGAAGCCTCTATATATAAAACTACAACTCATAGGTGATATACCAAGAAAAATAATAGCCAAAAAGTTGAGAAAACTGACCCAGACAACGTTTAATGCCAGTAAGCTGCAGCTTATATTTTCCACACAATCGATTGTGATTCCAAAACTGAACGATGAAGTACCTGGGTTAGCCACCTCTAATTGCATCTATTAGTTCAGCTACTTCTGTGGAACCAGTCTTATTGGCTGTTTCTCTACGAATTCAATTTTACGTACTCCGGAACACCTAACAATATGGTTAAATAGAGGGGCTGCTAAAACCATCAGCATCACCTCGTCCAATATAGACCACAAAGTTAACATTGAAGAGTCTTCTTCTATAATCTATCTGGTATCGAATAAAGTGTCAAAGGCCTCTAGACACTGAACACTCCAAAGAGCAGAAGCCACCGCAGTTAGCTGAAATCAACCAGAGTTTTGCGTGCAAAAGAAACAGGTCCAGTCGCTATTGCTATTATCTCTTACTGATGACAGTGAAATGTAATCTATCGACACTATTGATTCAATGCAATTTAAAACAGAATTAATGTTGTTAATAACAATTATTATGGTCATATAAATGTAGAGCCTGACGAATTTGTCGAAAAGGATATTCTTTGTTCACCAATCAGTCCTCAAATTTTGATGAGCATCTTCAGTCAATGAAAATGTAAAGGTTTGACAAACAGAAGTGGATATCGCTGATTGTACAAGCGTTGTGTTCCATATCCTCAGATGCTTTCATCAACACCTAACACAATTACTTTTCCAGATGAACATTGAAATTTAAATGACTAATTTTAAAAACACATACTAGTTTTCAGAAAACGAATAACAGTATTTCTGACACAGAAGTTTTAAAGATATGACGAGTTAACTTTCTCTGCATGAATTCCTGTTAAGTATAACAACAGAAATATGAAATTAGTTGTCAAACCAGGTATCTAGTGTAATTTATTTCCAAATTTTAACCAATTAAAATGCTGCTAGGAGTACAAACTCACTGATCGCTGATTGGTTAGATAGAAGTACTGACATTCATAGGGAAAAGCACTAGCTATATTCATATTCAATACGTAACATCGCAGCATTAAGGAAATTTTGCCAACTTACCCATTTATGCATGCAAATGAATAGTGCAGAATAAAATTTAAAATGAAGTTTCAGAGTACTACACATACTTCTTGTGCATAAATCAGCTAATCTTACTGGAGTGTTTGTGGAATTTCTTGTGAAATATCGTAAGTCTGTATAGATATTTTTTGAGATATTGGATCAAAATATTTCTTGTTTTATATAAGTGCTGCATCTTTCCACCTTTCTTATTTGCATCCATTCAAAATAATGCTTTTCATGATCTTCAGTGTAACTGCTGTGAATAATTTTTGTAATGCTTTCTTTAGGATGTTCAGAAATACTAGACGTTTAATAGAACAAACTGTATATCATAGTGACATCCAAAATGTAGTTATCATTTTTGAAATATATTCTTGCAGTTTTATTGCTGATTGCGCTTCATCCATATACTGTAATCATTCATTTTTACAGCGAATCTAGCTTTACACAGACAAGTTTGGATGCTGTCGGGAATAACATGAAATACAAGATTCAGTATGAATATGTGTTTCACATAGATGAGTTTTTATATAAGAAGCCACTATTAACAGTAATTCAGGACACTATATTTATTATTATTTCTTTTTTTCCGAGTGGAATATAAGGCCTCATTAGCACAACTCCATTTTACCACGTTGTTTGCAGTCCTTTATAGTTGGCTCCACGACTGACTGCAAGGTCTTATCTCCTCCTCATACTATCTTCCTCATGTCACTCTTGGGCTCCAAACTCACTATTTTCCATTCGGACCTCACTCTGGAGCCTGGCACATGATTTTACTCGAGTGTTTGATTAATTCATTTTAACTTTCTTCTATTTTTCTTGGGTGGTAGGCTCTTGGTTTGTTCTTTGCCAGAGTTCTTTGTTTTCAACCCTTTCTGGCCGGCCTTCTGATCTTCGGCATCGAGCCAAGGCGACTGCTGATAAGTCTTTAGTAGCCTTTCATAAATGCTTTTGGTGATATGTCAAGTCTGTAAGCCATACAGAAGAACTGACATGACAATAATGTTGAAAATTCGAATCATGTTAATTATGCTGAGTGCAGTAATCTTCCACACCAATTTTACACTAATGAAGATCTGTCTTCTTTTTCTTATCCTGGCTTGGGAATCTTAATCTGTGTGGGCTATCGTTGAAACAATGCTGCCTAGATAAGGGAAAGTGACTACCTTTAGATTCAAGACACTTTAGAAACTCCAATCGACACTCCCCATAAAAGTCTTAGAAAACACACATCTTAAGATCAAGCTTGGATGAATCCGGCTATAGTATTTATAATGACAGATTACAGTTTATACAATATTATAACAATTATGAAATCAGATAATATACTGGTACACACTAGTACTAGTCGTCAAATATTTTGGACCTTCTGATTGGTCAAAGTGCCACTTCGAAACAGTGAAATTGCACTAATAAATTAGTGGATGACGGAATCTGTTATCAGTCAACTTTTGAAATCATCATAAACTTCGTAAAACTAGACTTCACTTTTTAACATGGTGAAATGTGGAAGTCATTACAATTTAGAACTAGTTTAAGTATTCAGAGCCAAAATTTGAATGGTTTGAAGAGTATCCGATGGGGGAAAATTTGAAGTGTAAACAAAATGTTATATATCATCACAAACGATCCAATGTATTGAAAATAGTCTTTGTTTCATCAGAATTTCTAGTAAAAGTGTAAGATCCTGTAGTCTGGTAGCTTTTTCGATGAATAAACCTCTCTCATATGTGATACACTGGATATTCATTTAAGGTCACATTTTCCACGTTCTTCCATAACTTGAATTCAGAAGAAACAACTTGATGTACTTAAATAGATATTAAATTTTACTATTATGTTGTTCATTAACTTTTCTGTTATTTTCATTCGTCTTTACTGCTTGAACAGAAATTTGTCACTTATGTGTGTTGTGTATTGTGCAGGTAAACTGCAGTCGTTAATGTGCAAAAGACATTATCAACACAAACATAATTAAAAAAAAGGAATTTATTAGTCTAGGATAGAAAACACATGTTCAATGTTTGACTATATATTACAAGTACTTTATTCGAGTGTGGTTCAATATAAGAAACAAAGTAATTAATTTAAAGACTGAACTTTATTATTTTACAGTGCCTCATGAAATTCCAAGATAATTTTTATGAAGATTGTTAATATGATATTGAAGTTTCAAACTATCATATTCATAAAAGACAGAACTGTTCTTTTTCAAAAAATTAGTATCCTGTCAAAATGTCAGGTGATAAAAAAGAAAACATTCGAAGTTTGCGCAAGTCAGCAGTTGAAAGTATAGTAGAAAATATTATTTGATAACAGATTGCACAGAAGGTGACTGAATGAACGAAAGTTTAAAAGTAGTAAAGTGGTGAGTACTACTTCGAAACAGATAGAGTTATCTAAAGCGACTTCATTGAGAATTGACAAATGCATAAATGCTCCATCAGCTGGGAAGATAATGGAATTACTCTTTAGACAGTATTTTTGTTTTGTAGTTTTATTCAGAAGAGCACAGATATTAGCGTTCATCGTATTTGAAGTCTAAGCGATACGATCTTGTATCAGTCAGGAGGACTTGATACATATACTTTCTTTGAAGGTATTTTTAGGTGACAGTTTCGATAAGCGAATAAATTATTAGGAATTATAGTGTAGAAGGAATCTTAATGTGCAGATTAAAATATTTCACATACCTAATTTATTCTATTAAAATTAGTATTTTTAGATAAAACAATCTAACACACATCCAGTAGTAACTGCAACTATCACTTTCATTTATTATTATTATCATTCGGACATAAAATATTTTATTAGTGTGAAGCATACTTTGTATATTTGTATCTAAAATGTCAGGAGTTTAGGCACCATTTTATCTGATAAAAGTGTTACCTTCAGTTGTAACACAATAGAATTTACACCTGACCATTGGCTTACGGTATAAGTATAACCACAAATACACATCCCATTACTATTTCAGTCATCACACGTATTTAATATACATTATTATGAAGAATGGTTCTTCCCTTCGTATAATGAAATTAAAGCAAAAACAAGTGTTACTGCATGAATAAACCCTCAATCATCTGAGTCAAATTTTATACATTCACTTTCGACGTGCAAAATGTGAGTTAATTTCGTTATTCACTATATATTTATTTATATAGTGACTAACGAAATGTGTGTGTGACTAACTTAAGCTTACTAATGTGAACGCAGTAATGAAGTCATTATTCTTTAGATGAATTAATTATAAAGCCTATTTGATTACATTTCTGTTACAGTAAAAATGTGAAGAATTACCTATAGACTTTAAATAATTTTCATGAAATATTCATCTGTATGAGAAATCATTTGAAATTCAGTTGATATTCCAACGTCACGCTTCCATAACCATATGCATTAAATTATTTTTTAATGCTTGCACCCGCTTCAATTCTTTTTAAATGTGTCCTATTAGCCAATAATACTGCAGAATTCAAATTAATAACATACCGGTAATTAAAATCAGTATATTCCACTAAAGATTCCCTTATCTTAGCTGAAGTTAATTTTAATTATGAAAACAGCTGCTTAATTTTCATGTGGACTTGAAGGGTATACCTTTTTTTAAAAAAAATTTACATTCATTATCATACAGTAAGTTAATTTTTTTATTCGGACAACAAGTTCTTTTATACAACTATTTTCGTTATTTATCAAATGCAGTTTTAATTCGTCTTCTCAGTCTTTTATTTGATGTAACTTCTCATGTCAAATTAAGTAGTGATTATCATAAATTTGAGATGAAACAATGTTTCTTACCTTGTCAACTAAGCTGTGTATAAACTGTACCAATTGTTATCTACCTGAATATATGAACATGAACTTAATTCAATGGAATGAGGAAAATATGAAGTGCTCCTATTTCTATCATTCCTATTAAAATAAAACCGGTTTAACTGTAGAAAATGCCGTTTCTATTCTGTCATTTTTGACTTAGCGAATGTACGCTATTAAAGTCATATGAATTTGAATACAAACAAACACAAAGATTAGTTTATCATAAGTCACATACAATCTGAACAATTCGGACTATATATACGAAGTAATTCATGTTATGCTTGCAGGGTTAACATGATTTCGGCTAGCAGGAGATTGCGAAGTAATAAATAAAGCGTGATCAGAAGTTTCAGTTGTATATATTGTATACAGGTGGTTCAGACTTATTCACTGTCTGGAAAATTCAATAACAAAGTTATGGAAGAAGCATTATAGATGAATACGTTGGTGAGAGATCAGTTCAGCCAAAAAAAGGGAGAAAAATAAATTTGACAAATTACCAAAAAGAAATGAGGCTTAATTAAAATAAAATTTCATGAGGTAGAAGATAGAAAGAAGAGATTGCACTAGCAGGGTACACATATACAGATGAGTACTTGCTTCTGGTTTCACATACTCGATAAGTACAACCTCAGCAAACATGAGAAGTCAGTTGTTTTCTTTATTATCTTAAAGGAGTCCAAGGTGTCTACTTCATGTTCCATATCAACGTGACACCTGTAGATTGTGTTAACTTCTACTGTTCCTTCTGTAAATTATATAGACAGCTAGAGCTGACCTGGGAAGGGTACTTAATGACCTATGATTGTGCCTAATAGCATGATGCTTGAAACACATAAACTGACGTGACTTCAGTAAAGGTTCTAGTAAGTAAGGTTTTCAAACTTCTTCTATTGATTATTCCTCCAATATTGTCACCTTTAAAATCTAGATACACAGAGACAATTATCCTGTTCAAAGTGGCTTGATTTACATTTATATCCTCAGAATTTCTACACTCCTTACTGAATTACTTTGAATGCTCATTTTTGGTATGGATTTTTCCAGGACAACGTTTCCCTTTTCATTTCTTCGCTGGAGTGTATTCTTCCAGCCCTGCGAAACCAATGCTAATTGTGGAAAATTAGTTGAAATTTAAATTCAGTTTATTCCATGTGGACTTTTGCTGAATGGATATTTGAAGACCTCTGTTTTCCAAGAGCTGGAAAGCAATGTCAAGAAAGTAAAACTTCACATTACTTTCGTGCTAACTCAATAATTTCATGTGCATAACTAAATAGTTTATTCTGTCCGAAATCGTGAT